GTAACTATACATCTTCCACTGTTTTTCGTATGGCCTGTGCTGTAACTGTACATCTTCCACTGTTTTTCGTATGGCCTGTGCTGTAACTGTACATCTTCCACTGTTTCTTGTACAGCCTGTGCTGTAACTGTACATCTTCCGCTGTTTTTCATATAGCCTGTGCTGTAACTGTACATCTTCTGCTGTTTTTCTTATGGCCTGTGCTGTAACTGTTCAATCATTATTGCAGTAGATATTCACTTTCTTGTACTTTTACTACACATTTCTCAAAATGTTTATTCACAAGTGTATTACAGAAATCTTTAGTACTTGCTTTGTTTTCAAACTATGTAACTCAACTAATCAGGTTTAGGTTTTCCTCAATATGTAACTTAGAGATTCTACAACAAAACTGTTGAGTAGGAATATCAATAAGCACACTAAACGTGGATCTACACTCTTTACAATTCACCCTGTTCAATAATTCTTAAAAGATTACCAAGATTTAACCATTTTATTTATCCAGTTTCAATGAACTTACTTCTTTAGATGTGGTTATACTTACCAGATATACTTTCTAACCCAGAACAAATTTGTTGTAAGCCATCTTGAAATTCAGTTTCTTCATTCATATTTGTAACACCATATTCTAAGCTATCCAGATCATTGTTATCACTATCACTGAACTTGGAAATAACTTCATCATGTGGTACATCACCAGGCTGCTCTGTTTTCACTTCAATAGCTTTGTTCTGAAAATCATACAACATTAAAATGGTCAATAAAAATAACTAGTGCAATCACTAAAGTAGACAAATACATACAAAGTTGTGGTAATCCAAGGATAAATTAGACACACAGTTACCTGATCTTTGTAATTACTGGAGATTCAAGGACCTTGTATGCAGTTAAACAGGTGTGGTGAATTGTTGTAGGTGAAAAATAAAATAAAACAGAGTGATGTAGATATAGAACAAAAACACTTTGCTAAATGAAGAGAGTCAGATGAATAGTTGATTGTCTGAGTGGTACTATATTGTGGCATTCTTGAAATACAAAATCAATGTAGAAAATTAATTATATTATATTAACCATATGTCAGCAACATCAGTCCACTGAAATAACCCTGTATTTCTGAAGCTCTACATATTAATGCTTACCATAATTCCGAGTTTATTACATGTATCTTCACAACATTTAGCAAGCTTTTAGTAAATATTACAAGTATGTTTTACATTAGAAAGCAGATATCTAATAAAGTACTTCTACTAAAGATTTTTCTATAAATTTCCAAAGCCTTTACCAATTCAATCCGAGTTCAACGTGATTTTCATGTTATGAATAAAAATACTTTTTTACCTGACAAGTTACAGCTTTTATTCTTCCCTTCCATAACCTTTAGAACGTCCTAAAGTAATATCCAATATTGTTTTTTCCCAGTAAAATCTGTTATTTTCTCTACCCTAATACTAAGTGTTGTGAAATCATTAATGTACAATGAAATGAAAGGCTTAAAAACACAAAATAAACAATGCCATTTTTTTGTTTTCTTGTTTATATAGATCATTTCACAGGTTTAATGCTTTTCTTAACTTCATAGTTTCAACTGTTAACTTTTTTACAGCTGTCTTATTTAATTTTATGATTTTACTGTTGTAGTTAATACCCACATGAGCAGTAATTCTCCAACAAAAAGCAAAGAATCACATCAGTAGATCATTAATACATGTTGTAAATACCATGGGTAAAATACATGACCAATGTGATTTTTACAAATGCTAACTGTAAATGTCCCAAGCCTAATTTGTCTTTTCACTAAGTTACTTCTTCAAATAAAAATTCATTAGCTTTTAAATATACATTATAGACATAAAAATATATCAAACACTAACTGACTTACTAAGTATATTATAAATAAGTTAAAAAAATTCTGTTAACTGCTCAGAGCTCAACAATAATGATCGCATGTAAGCCATCTGAGGCACTATCTACATCTGCCTTCTAAAAAAGAAATAACAATAATAAGATTCTATTAGCCGGAAGACCACTCTTCCTGTTAGTTTCAGATATGTCCATAAAATAAGGATTCCCAGTATAGACAAGTTTGTTCTAAGCTGGGAGGAGCTTCACTGGTGGATGTAACAAATACATATTTCAGCAATTTAGAAAGTAGATTAAAATTTTATATTCTGGCTTATCGATATCTACACTTTGTGAACAGCTTGAAAGCCATAAAAGGAGAATAGAGGAATTCTAAAGAGGAGAAATCAAAGGGGAGGAGTGTCACATAATACAGAAAGTGAAAATTGAGAATTCATTTAAATATTTCCTTTTGAAATTAAGAAACTAAACTTAGTAACTTGAATGACAAACTATGTTTATTAACATGTATTGAGAATCAATTTGTTTAATTAAATTTTGAATTGAATTCTGCAAAAAGGTTACAACATGTGCACCTTGACCAAGCTGAGATCATAAGGTTACAATGAAGTATTAATAAAACTGTTATTGTAACAGTAGATGTATTAAAACTAACTTTACAACAATAAAAAGTTAAACTAGAATCATTAACAGGAGAAAGAATCAAACAACTAAAAGACTTCATATACAAGTTTTGACTTGAGGGTTTTTATTCATTTCTATCAAGACTTCTTGAACCTACGTGTTTTTCTAACATCATGAATAGTTACCCCTCTCTCTTGTTTATAAATAGTGTATTCCATATAAAAACTATGAAGAATTTTAAATAATTTTGTAAACATCAAGTAAAAACTATAGAAGAGTGAGATGTTTGGTATTTGCATGCTAGTCTTCACAATTTACTAAATTTAAATCATGATGATACAAAACTGGCATCTCAAAATATGGAATTAGTATAAGCATACAATATAAAAAATGTTTAAACAAAATATTTTTCATACTTATAATATCTGTAGTTTCAACTTTTGTAGATATTCTAGTCTGTTGATATAAACTCCTGAGCTAATTCACATGCCTGATATTTGTAAGCCTATACAGTCTTATTTTGGAAAATTAAATATTAAAACTTTTAAAAGAAAAGTAAAAGTTGCTATTTATTTTTGAAATAGTCAATGTTTCCAATATATTTTCATTAAAAGTTTGCAAATAAAAAACAATAAAGGTTCTCCATTGCCACCACCAATTTAATCCTAAAGATTAAAAAAATGTAACAAATGGTCAGTCATTACACTATTTAGTTGCCACTAGTAACAAAACAAGCAGAGGTGATTTAGGAAATGTTTATGTACACTTTTATATATAAAAATACATATTTAAGGAAACCTTTAATACAAAAATGCCAAATAAAAAAATTACCAGATAATAACAGCTTTAAACTCTAAATTCCTTATGTGGATTTCAAAAAACGTCATTAGACAAAATGCCTGAGTAGACTAAAGCAGTCTTTATTAATAGTAACTTTAGTTTAATTTGGATACATACATAAAGTAACCTGTGTAATTTACATTACATTTAAGTTATCTTCAGAACAACCACTACAATAAGGCTGTTGTCCTGAAGTCTTTCACAAACCAACATTAAAGAGATCATCAACACTCAAATTATACAGAACATTACAGCTGACTAGACACAGCATTCTTCAATTTCTACTGCTACAATAAGAATAATGAAAGATCTGTTATAAGTTTAATCCTGTAAACAACGATTAAGTAAACTTCTTCAGCTTGTCACTAGTGAGCATTATAACTAAATAAAACTTAACATTTCACCACTGATTAGACTCCAGATAAATGATTATCAAAAATACAGCATTACAGCTATCATATTATAAAATATTAAAGTTTTCAATCTACATATTACTTCAATCTCTGTTTCTCCATCATAGTTCTCTTCTTGTTCCTTTTTTGCTACACCAAACTTCAAAATAGTATTTGAAGATCTTTCTGATAAGGAATCAGCTTCTTCTGTTCCTAGAAATATAAATAATGTATATTTGTCTGTAACAACAAGACTGGATACAGATATTTTTTTATGCATCATTGAATCACAATAAAAGATCAAATAATCTGTGTCTGTTATAAGGTAATCTTAAAATCATATCCTCCATACTATCTCTGTTTTAAAGTCAGTCATGTCTCTCCTGAAAGACATGATGTCTAAAGCTGGAGCTTAGTGGGTACGATTTGCTGTTACGTACAGATACATAAATTTGTCTTTCCACAAGAAATGAGATTAATTCAAATGTATAATATCAGCAGATGATTCTGTTTCATGTTCCATTCTTTCATATTAGAATGAAAACTTAACTTTGTTCATTGTATGTTTTGTAAGCAATAACTGTATATCTTCCCTGTGTGTCTTATAGATTTGCATGCCACTAGCCATTAATTGCACTACTGCATAATAATGTCATTACGAGCAAAAACCCTTCACACTAACTCCCTCTGTGCATTTGCACTTATGAATTTTCATCCTTTGATGAGATAAATAAGAAAAATGTACACCGAAAATGGAGAGGAAGGGTGAGAATGTGTGTGAGAGGTGAGTATCTAATGGAAATACATTTTCAAATAAGGAAAATGTTGGCTTCTGAGACAATACCACACTTCTGCATACAGTAAGCTAGAATCCCACATTGAAGTGTTGGAAGGGCCAGTGCAAAAAATTACCTTGATGAGCTCCCTTCTGAGAGTGCCCAAAGGAAGCCCATGGAGTGTGAACCTGAAGGCAGGGGCTTCACAGGGGGCACATCTGTAGGAGACTCTAGCAGGGTTTACTCTACACCTTGGAGTAACAGGAGGAAGAGACAAACAAGTCCAGTGTATCCCAGGAATGGGCAGAATAAGAACATGGTCATCCGAGTACTCATACACAAAAGGTCAGAAAGTCAATATGTATAGCGTGGTTGGGGCATGTTCAGACCATACCTTGCGTGCTCATCTCAACTCTTCTGTCAGACTTTATTGGACCAACACAAGTTGGGAGAAGGGGAGCACAGTAGTCATGAAACTGAACAGACATTTGCAGCAGGTGAAGGTACAGTTTATTAGTGCATGCTCACCTCAACTCAACTGAACAGTCACAGGGTACAGGAGGAGGGCACAGTATTGCCTTATGTACATGTCTCAACTCAACTGAACAAACTTAGGTCACAAGAAAAGGGCACAAGTGGCATGTGGTAAAGTCATAAGAGGGGTGACCTGCACTACACTGACAGTGTCACCACCACTCCACTTCCCACCATATTAGCACCCCTTGTTCTAGTCCCAGACACATGAAGTGAGAAGGAAGGGAATAAAGAGTTGGTGACTGGAGACTGGAAAGCGAGAGGTACGAGATATGTAGCAACGGTTGGCATGAACAGGGCATAATAGTCTGTCCGAATCCAATCGATTGTATAGGTGATAAATAGAAGGAAAGGAAAGAGGAGAGAAAGAGTGATCTCCTTTCCAACCAGCTGAAGTTTTAGGGAAGAAGGACCGGTCAAAATGAAGAAGAATACAAGTGTGACAGATGAGAGTATAGGATGAATGGATAGCATAAATATCTGAATGATGGCAAGCACAGAAAAGAAATATGAGGAAAAGGTCTTGAGAGAAAGGTAATATTAGCTGCAAATTGACAATGGCTTAAAAGGTTCATGGGTAAGAATAAACAAAACAACAATGAGGTCCCAGTCAGGCATGGGAATGGAGCAAAAGGATCTATGGAGAAAGAAGGAACTGAACAGGGTGGAGAGAATTGGGGAGGAAAACACCCTGTGGTATTAAGAAAGGCAAAATATCGTGGGCAAGACTGCATAATAATTAGCAATGGTGGGGATAGTTAATCCACAGTCGAACAACCAGGCATAAAAAGAGGAGAAATATCTGACAGAAGGACGATCAGGAGGATGGTGATATGGATGGATCAATAGCAAAAAACACATCCCTTACACTGGTATATGGACAAAGTGGAAGGGTGACTAGACTGATAAAGGAAAAAGGCTACATGATTGTAGGGTCAGTTCTATGGGTGAGGGACTGTACAAGTCCAAAACATAAAGGTGGAGGGACAAGATCCCTTAATGGAACAGTGGTGTGTAAGGTTGAAGCATAAGAGAGGGTATAGTTGGCAGGGGAAATTGGGTTGTCAGGATGTGGCAAGGATTGTTGTCAATAAAGGCCAAGACTCGATGTAAAGATGGAGAGGGGATTATGCATAAAAGAAAAGACAAATCCTGGCTGAAAGCATTAACAGCCAGGGTCAAGGGATGAGGGAACAAGCGACCACAAAAGAGGAAACTCTGAACTGACAGGGGTGGCGAGGGCATCGATGAATGGAGTTCCCAAGGGAGAGCACACCCAATGGTAAACCTGGGAGTTAAGAGGCCATTCCATGAGCAGAACTTGGTCTGGTTGAGAGAGGCAGTCTGCAACCAGGTTTATAGCACCTGGTACCTGGCAGATGATGAGACGAATCTGTTGACAATTACCCCAATAAAAAAGGTTCAGGATTTGAATACAAGAGTCATGGATAAAGTACCCCTTTCGCAGTTGATACAGGAAACAACTGCAAAGTTGTTGGAATAGATCATAACTAAATTATCCACAAGGAGTAAGATGGGAACATACCTGATGAACTGCCAGAATTTCAAGTGCATTGATATGAAGAGAAGGACAAGAGAGGTTCATGTGCCCAATGTTAAATTGTCATTCAAAGATGCAGGTCCAGTTTGGGTGGAATGTATTGGAACATCGATGGTGGTATTGGATCATCTAACCACTAAGACAGATCCTCAAGTAGAGAAGGAGACAGATGAACCACTAAGATCAAAGTTTCCCATGAGTGGTTCCACTGGTTGTGCAAGGACCATTGGAGAAGGCACATATGTGCATAACCCGAAAAAATAAGTAGTTCTAGTGAAACCATGATCCCCAAAAGTGATAAGAGCCTCTTGCACAGTATAAGTAGGAGAGGCACAAATCCTGGTGACTGGTAGTTCCATAGATCACAGGCAGATGGGAGAAGGTTGAACACGGTTGAGAAAGAAGTTGAAGGAAACTCCCAGGTGAACAAGATATTTTGTTGGAGTGGGGAAAGATTTGGAAGTTTTGACAAGCCAAGCATGATGGGTGGTTTCCTAGGTGAAGATCTCATAGATAGAAAGAAGTCGAACCTGGGAAAGGAAAGTATTCCTACCCAGCAACAAATGACTCAAGTGAGCAAAGAAAGGGCAGAAGTGAAATGGGCCACAGTGGAGAAAAGAAGGGAATGACAATCACCCAAAAAAATCTCCTAAGACACTGTGAAGTGCCTCAGACATGAAGTGTAGAAAGGAGAGGTAATGAAGTATGGTTAGGAGGATTAGGTGAAGATGATAGTATTGGGCAAAGAGTCCACCCCTAACAAGGCAAGAGAGATTCCAAATTTTGGGGATTGAGAAAGGGGGATTCAGAATTACTGTAAGCCAGGATATAAGAATAAAATGGAACAGGAGGCTTGAGTTGAGGAAACATAGTTGATTAAGGAAGAAATAAGCATGAATGCCAATGTCAGGAGAAGAAGGGAAAAAGAAAAAGTTGTTAGGGTTAGGATTATGAAGGAGGGAAAGAGGAAGTATGGTACATACCTGTGATATTAAGTTCTGATAATGCAAGGATTCTGAAGGTTCTCTTTAACATGGAGAGAAGTTCCCACAACCAGGAGGAAGAAGCAAGAGATCAAATCCATTCTCTCCCTCAAAACAAGGGGAAGGAAGGCATGAAAAAAGGACGAGAGTTGAAGGTCCGGTCTGCATAAGAGAACCCATTACCCTGTGCATAACGACCATCACATCATCACCAGTCAACGTGCCTCCAGAAGTCATACTTGATACATAACCTGTGTAAGGAAATTCTTTATTCACATAAGTAGCAGAAAGCATTACATGAGCTTGTGAGTTCATAGTTTGTAGAAAAAAGGAAGGAAATTAAGTTCCTTACAATTTGCATATTTCATTAACTCTGTAGTTACAGTTTGAACCCATTTGGCATATTTCTCATATGGAGAATGATAGACAGTTCAACAATACTTACAACAATTCTGAGCTTTTTTAATACATCTTAAAGTTTACAAATACTTTGTACACAAAGAATGAGATTGTTTTAATTAAGTATTTTAATTAAAGATTCGTTATTTTTGTATTGTAGTTATTTGCACTCAGACTCTGAATATTTCAAGTATTATCATCAATGTATTGTGTAGTGAAACTTTTAAAATTAAAAACAGAGAAAATGTAAATACCTTTGAATATTTCTTCTTCCTTTCCTATTCTTTAGCATTATTACTTATTGCAACACGTTAACAGGCATTCTCTGGATGTCCTCGGCAGTGAGAACTTAGCTGTCATCAGAATGTTGGGATATTTGCCTATTACACAAGCCTGATAAATCGAGGCAGTTTGGCTGATATTTAAAAAAATTATTACACCTTTCTAATATGTATTTTAAAACATAATTAACATATAATTAAATAAAATTTAAAACTAAAACCTAAATAAAATTTAATTTTCTATCTAACTAACATATTTATAGGTGAGAAATAATGCTAAAGTGCTAGCGAGGTCACAAGCAACAACAATGCTAAGAGCATCTGACAAGTTCTCTATGGAATTCTTCATGCCAATTTTAAAATAACTGTTGGAAAATAGTATTTCAAAATGTGGCTTCCTATTGGTTACAAACATCTAGCTCAATTAAGTATAACTGGCTGAGAAATCACAATTGTATGTGTAGAGATGGGTGTGACATCTGTCAAGAGTTCCAAAAAAATTATTTTCTATTCTCTGAACATGCCATAAGGAGGTTCAAAGAAAAATCTGTAAACAGAGCAATTAACCTAGTTTCTGTCTATACATAGAAGTGTAGTGTACAGGAAGAACTATTTAAGCTACAGATAAGTTTCAATTTTGTGATCATGTGCATCAAACCGAAGGTTTCTTTTGAAAAAA